AAGTTAGGATGATGGAATAGAACTTAAGTGTCATAAATCTTAAGAATATTAAAATAATAACTTGATTTTTAATAATAATTTATAACAAAAATAGATGAGAGGAAGGAAAAAAGTTCATTAATTTTCTCAGTTTAACAGAAGAAGAGTGATACAGTCTAAAGGTGAAATATACAGTTTCAAAAGATATTTTTATAACTGATTTTTTATAATCCTTAAAAAATACAGTAAATAATTCCTTTAGAGCTCTATTGTAAAGAAGTATTATTTTTGCCCTAAGTGGAATTACTGATGAAAAGATAAAATTATGTAACACCAATTTACATGTCTACAAGCAGTGTATAAGAAAGCCCATTTCATACCATCTTGACCTACATGAGGATTATCTCCTGAAAGACAATCTACTAAGATAGTAGGCACACAAAAAACAGTCTCTTTAAAAAATTTGCTATGATGAAGTTGAATTTTTTGCACACTTGTTCAAAATTTTTGTTTATAACATCCATTTTTCTATTTTTGTCTTTTTCTTTTTCTGATTGACTTTAAGAGCTTCTTTATATATTAAGAATATTAGCTCTTTCATATGTGATACAACTCATTTTTCCAACTTGTGGTTTTATATTTTAAATTTAAGGTACTTTTTGATGTACTTAATTTTTCTGCAGTCAATACTATCTTTTCTATTAAAGCTTTCTTTTGTTTTTATGCTTTAAAAGAGCTTCCCTAACTTAATGTCAAATTAAATAGCAGTTATATTTGTTGGTGTGAGGTAACACACACTAAGAGTTGTGTTACCTCACACTAACAAACGTGAACAGCTATTCCAGTATATTTATCAAACCAGCCTTTTGTCCGAAACTTATGGATATGTTTTCAAGGCATGACATCTGCTCATACAAGCTTCTAATCCTCACCTCTACCTGCTAATTGCTATGTGCTTCCCCTTCCTGAAAAGAGAGTCCTCTTTCTACCTGGTCCCTGTATGAAGAGAGGAAAGGGAGGATAGGATAATCCTGGTCCCCATCTCCCTTCCATTTATTTTTTGCATCTAACTCCCTTCACTTTCCTCTCCAATCCTTTTTGGGTCCCTACCTTTTCAGATTCTACTTTCATGTTTCCAAGTTGTGTGGTATTTTTTCAGAAATGTAATTTGGTACAAACTAATGAAAGAATACATAAAAAACAGAATGGTTATTTCAATCAACAATATAGTTTTCAAAAATCTAGTAACCATTACAAATAAAATTATCACTAAGTAAAATAGTGCCTAACATATTATTTTTAAATTTCTAAAAATTTTGTAAGCTCTATACCAATTGTCCATGATATATGGTAGGTACTCAATATTTGTTGCTGGGAAGAATTTATCTTTTTAGATCTGAAAACACAGGCATTGGGTTACAGTTTTAGATTTCAGGATTTTTACTGCCAAAATATTTTATGCAAACAAATGTAAAAGAATACAAAGGTGACAGTAACCTAAAATTTCCTCACAACTACTTATGATTCACAATTTAGTAACCTTTAGCTATTTCTGTTAGCTAGGTGGCAGGAGAACTTTATTTCTGTAACAACTAGAGAAACCACCACACTTTAAAAATTCACTGGGTGCAGTGGCTCATACCTGTAATCCCAACACTTTGGGAGGCCAAAGCAGGAAGACTGCTGTAGCTCAGGAGTTTAAGACCAGCCTGAGCAATATAAGGAGACCTCATCTTTACAAATAATTTAAAAATTAGCCAGGCATGGTAGTGTGTATCTGTGTATGGTCCCAGTTACTCAGGAGGTTGAGACAGGAGAATAACCTGTGCCCAGGAGGATGAGGCTGCCATAAGCCATGATTGTACCACTGCACTCCAGCTTGGGTGACAGAGCAAGACTTTGTCTCAGAAAAAACAACAACAAATTTTCTGGGCTACTTTTAATCTCCTAGAAGATGCATTGTTAACTTTAAGAACAGGCAATACAGCCAAAGTAAAAGTAGTCATTGTCATCCAATCCCTGGTAGTGGCAGACAATGAACAGTAGGCTAACCAAGTTCCATTTCCAACTTCCTTCTAACTGTCTGTACTACAGAGACTGCAAAAATTAAACATTTGACTCCCCAGCCTCCATTGAAAAGCTATGTTACACAGTTCTGACCGATGAGATACAAACAGAAGTCTGCTAGCACTGCCTCTTTACTTTCCTTCTTACTGCTTAGTACATATCTGTGGTGTGTAGGAGGCAGCTTCCAAGATGGCTCCCAATGATGCTTGCCTCTTGAAGGGACTACATCCTTGTGTAGTCCCTTCCCATACTGATCAGGGTTCTGTGATGAAAGAATATGGTAGGAGTGCCAGCTCACTTCAAAGATTAGGTTATAAACAACATAGCAACTTCCATCTTGTTCTTGTCTCCATCTGTCCTCTCCCTCCTGACACACACACTCTAGACCCTCCCCGCTCTCTCAGATCATTTGTTCTGAGAGAAGACCACTGCCATGCCTTGAAGAGAAATCCCTGTGGTGAGGAACTGAATCCTACTGCTGACAGTCCATGTGAGTTAGTTTAGAAAGCAGATCTCCGGCTCAACCAAGCCTTTAGAGGACTGCAGCCCCAGCTGGTATCTTGACTGCAACCTCATGAGGGACCCTGAGCCAGAACCTCCCAGCTAAGCCACTCCTGAATTCTCAACCCTCAGAAACTATGTGAGATAATCAATATTTATTATTTAAATCTGATACGTTTTAGGGTAATTTTGTAATACAGCAATAAATGCCAGAAATACAGTTATGCCTGAAGGTACAACTGCCTTTTTACGACCTTGATAAAAATCACATTCTAAGGATGGCAGACGGTTTTTATTAATGTCCTTCAACATCACATCAGCTCTGGATTGCCTAATTAAGACTTCCTGTGGAGGCAGACCCCTATCTGTTTATACTACATAGTAGGTTTTTTTGTTATTTGCAGCCAAATACATTCCACACTGAGATACTCAACAATTCCCAACACCTGATTACTGTTTCTAAAGAAAGCTTCCTTTTATTCAAGGATCTGCCTCTGCTCAGAAGTTTATACTTCTCTTATCTTCTGGAACCCAGTTGTTTATTTCCTGATCCAGAAAACATATTCAGGCTGTCCTGCAGGAACTCCTAGTATTTAAAGGCAGTGGCAAGGATTAACTCCTTCGTTCAGTAAGCAATTACAATACTCTTTAGTAGAATGCCTACTTCTTAAAACATGTCTCCCTTTGACATACTAAAAACTTTATTCAGTTACACCCCAAAACACAAAGAATTCAGAAATGTATTCCAAGCTGCTGGATCATATAATCCATAAGAAAATGTTTCTCTTGATGATAATCTGCTTTTTCACATCAATTCCAGGAACACGTTTCCGTCCAAGAGAAGGAAGTAGCTGTCTCTAGATGAGGTTCAATCATGTGCCACATAATGATGTTTCAGTCAATGATGTACTACATGTACAACAGGGTCCCCTAATACTGTATAGCATCATTTTTTTTTACTATACCTTTTTTTAATGTTTAGATATATTAATTTTTTTTTTTTTTTTGAGACAGGCTCTCGCCCTGCCGCCTAGGTTGGAGAGCAGTGGCATGATCATGGCTCACTGTAGCCTCAAACTCCTGAGTCCAAGTGATCCTCCCACCTCAGCCTCTGAGTAGCTGGAACTACAGGCACGTGCTACCACACGGGACTAAGTTTTGTATTTTTGTAGAGATGAGGTGTCACCATGTTGCTCAGACTTAGATATATTTAGATATACAAATACTTACCATTGTGTTACAACTGCCAGTGTGTATTCAGTACAGTAACATGCTTACAGGTCTGTAGCCTAGGAACACTAGGTTATACCATATAGCCTGGGTGTGCAGTAGGCTATATCATCTAGGTTTGTGTAAGTACACTCTGTGATGTTTGCCCAATGACAAAATTGCCCAACAACATTTCGCAGAATGTATGCCCATCATTAGGCGATGCATGACTACAGAATAAGTAAGAGTTCAGCTCAGGAAAATCTCTCCTATACAATCCCACATTCCCCTCCTAACTGTGTATCTCTCTCTGGATGCCAAAAGAAGCCAAACATTGTAACACATAACAGAAGAAAACTTTCATTTGGCACAGAAGTAAAAGTAATTTAGATCTAGTGACCTTGCTTTGTTTTTTCTTTCCAAGTGTACAATTGCTCAGAGATAGAGGCAATACAGCCCCAGAAGACGAAGAAAAATGACAGGAAATCCTGATCCACACTTGACCAAAATCATCAAACAATCTAGGCAACTGGTGTTCACTCATATGATAGCTTTTTAAGTTGTCAGCAATCCTTGGCAAATACAATAGAAAATAACTTCAGTAAAACTCTGAGCTAAAAGGCTTAATATTCTCAAGGGGGTCTTGCCCATATAAAGGGATGGGGGCAGTACCTAAAGAAAGGAAATTTAGTCAGAGAATAAATCTTCTGCTGTAAGAGATAACATAATCCAAAATATCAAGTATACTGTATTTGAGGAAACACCAAATTTAATATAAAGTTTTCAAAATTTACGTAACTCCACATATATCACTTCATATATATATACATACACACACATATATAGATGTATAATTTACAGATAATAACTTCTTAACATTTAACCAACCTGAGGAAGCTATTTCTTAAAATTTAATTTTAAGAAAAATTCATTTTAACTTTAAGATGTAAAAAACAGTCTAAGATCTTTGAAGCTAGCCAGAGTACATTTCTGGATTCTAAAAGTACTGCTTAATCACAGCAAAGCAGACACAAAATGGTGTTTCATAAAAGTGTGATAGTTGCTATTGCAACGATCAGTAGGTTTACTTTTAATGTTTATTTAATTGCATATGTTCAGAAATAACATGATGTGATTGTTAAAGCCTGGAACGGCTCCTTGATTTCAAAACACAGTCACTTCCATAATGCCTATATATAAAAAAGCAAAATAGGAGGGCAAAGTTTTGTTTGTATTTTTATTTTTAAAATATGCAATGCTTTACAAATTTGCATGTCATTCTTGCACAGGGGCATGCTAATTTTCTCTGTATTGTTCCAATTTTGGCATATGTGCTGCTGAAGCAAGCACAAGGTGGACAAAACTTGAAATGCTAGTTTCCATCCCACAGGGACCCACAGAGTACTCCTTACATCATACTTAGGGAAGCTGTCATATTCATGCATATTTTTGCTTTTGATTTGTGAAATTAATTTAGTGATAAATTCAATTCTACTTTTTATTTTTCCTTTGCTGCCCCTACCACCCCCTCCCCACTATAACTTAACAATAACATATTGTTTTAAAGTTACTTATGATAATATTCCCGAGACTTCTGCAATTTGATGATTTCTTCCACTCACAGGAAGACAGGCCTCAACTATAACAATGAAAGTGAACTCCACCAGAGGCAAGACAATGTAACTAAACTCAGGGACTTCCCCTTTGCTACACCAGGGTACTCTTTGACCTACTTTGGTTTTCTACAAATCATCCCTTTAGTTCTCAGCCTGAAAGCACCAAAGCTAGGCCTCTGTTAATCAAACATTAATAAACAGTAACAAACAACAAAAAAGAAAAACACACATATGCGTACACACACACATTTATCTTAAAAAGTAAACAATCTAATCTGTGGAAAAAGCCATACCACTAAATAAAACATTAACAAAGGATAATTTATTGAGTTTTTTTCTAGAATAGATTTTAAAGACGCTTAAAAGGAAACTTTTTAGAGAATTATTTTAAGAATTGTAATAGCTTTTAAAATTAGTTAGTGTCTCATGTATGTATTCCTGATTCACAGATCCCATCTTTTGCTTAAAGCACCTGTTTATAAAACTTTACAATTTCGAATTGGAGTGGGGAGAGAGATCTGACATCTCTGATTTGACCTGCCAAGTCTTTTCTCCTTTGGGAGAATATTCATCTGCCCTTTCTATTGATTAGTTCAGTACTGTGCAGTTTTATGATTCTAGAAAAGTGTAAGGTAAAAATAAACAGCAATGACAGTGAACTAATCTCTTTTAGAGGGAAAAATCCCTCAAAGACAAAGACAATTCCCTCCCTCATTTACCTTTTAAGGTCAGAAAAAGTAGGCCATCAATAACTATAATTAGTGCAGCATCTGTAGGATGCTCGATTCTACTTTAACTACATAGAATAATTTAATTTGACTTATTATAATTAAATGAGATCAGTACTTAATGTGTCATGGAGCTATCAGTAAGACTCAGAAAACTTGTTACTGGAATGCAGCAATTGTTCCCCCCAAGACAAATGACCAGGGGAATCAGGAATAACAACATAATCTTCCTTCTCTCTGTATTGAATTTATGCCAGGCAACTTTCAATGTCTCCAGGAAAAAGTATGCACTGTTCTTTCTATCCTCCCCTCCCAATCTTTCCATCAGGACAGACTGATTTCAAATCAAGTACATTTAAATGGTTAAATCAATACATGCATATGAGCCTTGATTTAATCTGTGATTAAATTGCTACTCAGAAGTTAACAATTTTTTTAAAAAACGCATTTTACTTTTTGAAATATCTCACATATATTATTCATAACTTAGTTGTATATCTGACTTTAAAATGTACATAATCTAAAATTAAAGCAACAGTAAATTACTCCTAATTTTACATTTCCCTTAGGAAAAAAGAACAATGTACTAACATGGAGATTTTGAAACCACATCTGATTCCATGTATTAAACCTAAATAATAGACAGGCAATCTATGTAAGAAATAAACAGCCTTGACCAAAAAATTTTTTTCAACAAATTTAATAAGTGTAGAAATTTTCTATTTGTGTATAACATGTATATAAAAATTTTAAATTTTGAACATTTTCAGTTATAAATTTAAAATGTACTATGTATTTTAAGCAAAAATTAAAGGGGACATATCAGAATTAATTCTACTTAAATATTTTGGGATATGCAATAAACTTGATCTTCATCTTCCTCTTTTAAATTAATTAACCTGCCGGTGAGGTGGCTCACACCTGTATTCCCAGCACTTTGGGAGACAGAGGTGGGTGGATTGCTTGAGGCCAGGAGTTCGAGACCAGCCTGGGCAACATGGTGAAACCCTGTTTCTACTAAAAACACAAAAATTAGCCAGGCATAGTGGTGTTCACCTGTAGTCCTAACTATTTGGGAGGCTGAGGTGGGAAGATGGCTTGAGCCTAGGAGGCGGAGGTTGCAGTGAGCTGAGAGCACACCACTGTACTCCAGCCTTGGCAATAGAGTGAGACCCTGTCTCAAAAAAAAAATTAATTAATCTAACAAATATTTATTTAGTTTTTACTACGTGCCTAATGAGTGATGAAAAAATAAATGATGAGAAAACCCTGATATGGTCTCTACCCACATTAAACCTCACTTTAATGGAAGACAGAAATTAATCCAAGAATTATCTAAATATGATAAAGTATGGTACTCTGAAGAATAATGAGAGAGAATGGATCAAGTTAGGAAAGTCCTAGAAGGCTTTCTTTTTAAGAAACGGGGTCTCATTCTGTCACCCTGACTGGAGTGCAGTGGTACAGTCACGGCTTACTGTAGCCTTGAACTCCTAGTCTCAAGCGTTCCTCCTGCCTCAGCCTCCGAAGTGGCTGGGACTACAGGCATGAGCCACCATACCCAGCCTAGAAGGCATTCTTGAGGAAATTACAACAGAGAGAAATCCGAAAAATGAATGGGGGGAGTTTATTAGGTGAATAACAGAGCAGAGGTGAGGCTCTCTCCAGGTAGAGGAAAAAGGATGTCAAAGACTTTCCAGCAAGAGTAAGCAGTAAGTCAAGTGGGCCTGTGAGTCTGGGAACACAGAGTGAGGAAGAGCACACTGCAAGGTGAGGCTGATGAGTTCAGCAGCCAGACCACAGAGAGCCTTGCAGGGAGGCTATTCATCTTGGCTTACTCCTGTTGACTTGGCATAATCCCTTCTCTCACAGTATCCCAGTTTGGATGATAAATTATGTGAGACCATGTAAAAAAAAATTTACCTTTAACCAAAACACTATGAGAAGTCATATATAAAAATTTTAAGGTGGTGGTGGTGTGTGTGTGTGTGTGTGTGTGTGTGTAACAGAGAGACAGAGAAATAGCCATATTACAACATGAATTCATATACAATAGTCCCCTGGTATCTGTGGGGGACACATTCCAAGACCCCCCATAAATGTGTGAAGCCACAAATAGTACTGAATCCCCTATGTACTATGTTTTGTCCTATACATACATAGCTATGACATAGTTTAATTTAGAAATTAGGCCCAGTAAGAGATTAAAAACATTAAGTAATAATAGAATAACGATAAGAATATACTGTAATAAAGGTTATGTGAGTGTGGTCTCTTGTCTATCTCAAAAATACCTTATTATACTGTACTGTTGGCAAGTGAAAGCAAGGAATGTGAAACCATAGATAAGGTGGAACTACTGTATAAAGGTAAATATATAACTTCACCTGCAAAGTTTGGAACATACTTCATAGTTGGTCTCAAGGAGAACAAGATGTCTGAAATCATACCAAATGAATGGGTAATTAAGCCTTTTTGCAGAGAGAAATAGCCCTTGGTCACTGATCTGTCTGAGTCTCAGAAGTCACCGTGCAGAGGTCAGGCAGGCTTCTGGCTTGAGAAGGGAGCATGAGTATGTCTGTCAGTCAGTATAGAGACATACCTCTACACCAGATAGAAGAGGAGAAGGAAACTGCCAAGGTAGGTTCAGGAATAACTGAAGAGAAATAAGTAGGAGGGTGGGGTGATGGAAGGGAGCACACAGGAAAAGAGAGAAGCCTGCCCTTGGGCAGGGTGTTGAGGGGAAGGCCAGCAAGCTGCACAGACCAATGACTTGCCCCAAATTTTCCATGAGCCATACCCAGTAGCCAACTCAATTAGAATGATGGGACCGGAGGGGATGGAGATGATGTGGAAATGTTCCTGGAGGCAGAGCAATCAAGAGAAAATTTAGGGAACTACAGCTGGGGAACTGGTCTGCTCATCCCGACTGAGAACTCACTATCTTGTCAATAAAGATGAGTTTTACTTAATCCTTGAATCCTGAGGTCTTCTCTGAGATTAATGCTGTGATTACTACTGTTTCCCCTTTGCATTTTCCTATGTACCTTTGCTGATTCTTTTGCCTTTAAGCTTTCAACAATACTTCATATCAGGTTAAGTCTTGAGTTACCATCTTTTAATCTGATTGTCTTTCTATTCAATCTATAAATTCCTCACCAGGGGAGTTTTATTTACATACAAAACTGTTCATTATATTGTGAAGTTAATAAAGCATTTTAAAGGAAGAAAAATACCTTCTACAAGTTGTCTGGTACTGAAAAATGTCTGAAAATAGTTATACTCTCTCTTTTTTTTAAAGAATAAAGTAAAAAATCTAAAAAATTTAATTTTTTATTTTGCCCCAGCTTGCAGCCTTTTACTTTACCTATATCAATGCTGAATTAAATAGAAAAAAATAAAATTAAGCCATGTATATAATTTTGGATCCAAAGAACTGAAATTCATGATATGGAAATTAACAATGAATGGTAAAATCATCATGAAATAGCCTTAGAATCTTAGTGAAGTAGTATTTAGTCTTGTCACTAAACTGGCTTGATTGATATCTGCCAACTTCTAGAATTTCCCCCACTGCCTCCTTTTTTTCCTACAGGCTATGATCATTCAAATCCTCAAACAGCTATATCCTTATGTTCTTGATTATATGCCAAGATGATAAATAAAGGTTTATAGATGACTCCAGAGTTAGCTCAGAGTCAATAAACCTAAAGGTGACCTAGGCCACATATCAGGCTATAATGGAAAATAGTGTATTTAGCCCCAAAGCATCATGGATTCAGCCACCTAGACAATATTCTGCCCAATGATGTACTAATTAACACCAAAATAGAAAATGATTTAGGACAGTATGTACTTTAGAACAAAAGGAAGATCTGAAAGCCACAGTTCATCATCAATCACCAAATCAAAATGTGGAACATAGAAAATATCAAATGAAAGAGAGAAAAGAGAGAGGGAGGGAGGGAGGGAGGGAGGGAGGGAGGGAGGGAGGGAGGGAGGGAGG